CGGTAAGGCGCTTGCCTTGCACGCAGCCAACATGGCCAACCCGAGTTCGATTCCTCCGCCCCTCTCGGAGAGCCTGGCAAGCTGCCAAGAGTATCTCGCCCGCTCGGCAGAGCCTGGCAAGCTCCCCGTGACGTATTCAATATGCCAAACACAGTAACAACAAAGTCTCCAATGGAGACGTTACTGGGCCCGCTCGAGCAAATGCTCGAGCATTTTAACTAAAGTAAAGTAAAGGCCCTCCCGTTCATCGTCGATTTGCTCGAGCGGGCCCAGTAATGTCTCCATTGGAGACTTTGTTGTTACTGTGTCTGGCATATCGAATACTCTCGGTAGCTTGCCGGGCTCTCCGAGAGGGGCGGAGGAATCGAACTCGGGTCGGCCATGTTGGCCGCTTGTAAGGCGAACGCCCTACCCGCTGTGCTATCACTCCAGGGCATCTGCCTTGCACGCAGCCAACATTTTAACTAAATAGTCCATTAAAAATATTAGAGGAATAGGAAGGACTATTGGCTTTTGCTTGGGGACCACACCCAGCAGTACTCCTGGCTCTGCTCAGTGATCACCACTGATATATTGAAACCGAGGCCAGCAAAATATGTAAGGCCTTACTTACCCACTATACTATCATTCTACCCCTCTTTTTATTTATGAATTTTAGTGTAGTGTTAATATCTCAACTATTTGAGAATAGGAAACTCCTTTAAAATGCAGTAATAGATGTTTGTCATTTTTTTGGAGGGGTGGGGATGGACCATGGGGATACACCCAGAAGTGCTCAGGGATTTCTTCTGGCTCTATACTCTGGGATCACTCCTGTTGATGCTCAAAGGACCATATTTAGTGCCTAGGATTAAACCCAGATTGAGTGCATGGAAGGCAAATTCTTTAATAAACTCTGTACTATCTCTTTGTTCCTGATATGCAAAGGTATAAGTGTAGTAGAGTCATAGATAATAGATGAAATAGAGTTTGATCATTAATTGCCTTAGCTTGTCCGAGAAATCTTGGACTAATCAGTATTACTTCACTATACCAGCTACAATCCTGTAGGGAAACATCTTAATGTAAAAATGAATATCAAAAGGGTTTTGAGGACATTTAACTAGTATTCTGTGTTGTAGAGATTCTTAGTTGTCTTTGAACTCAGCCCTTGAACTCAGCATTCGGATTCAGCTTGCTTAAATGCTAATAAAGAGCTGGAGAGACAGTCCAGGGGATTAGGGGCTTTCCATGCATTTAACCTTCCCCAATTTGATCCCCAGCATCCCTGAAAACCACCAACTATGCTCCTTCCCCACCTTTAAAAATGCTGACTAAGAAGCGGGGGAGTTCTGAAAAATGGTATCCTTGCTTGATTTTTCTTATTTTTCTTTGCTGTGAGGATTTCTTCTTTACTTTGCTCTTTCTCTTTTCCATAGCATTAATACTCAGTAGTACAACTTACTTAAGCCAGTCTGGCTGTTTCTGGAGTCTATAGCTTGGGTAAGTTGTTTCTTTGTGCCCATTTCTTCATTTGTGAAATAAGTATCTACTTCCCTGGTTTGTAATGAAGGTTAAATGAGAGGTTAATAGCCTCCATTGCAATTGGGGTGGGTGCTGCTTATCCTTTGTTCTCTTAAAGAAGATAGATTTCCAGGTAAGTTAAATTTTTTTCTGACGAGGCCCTGAGAGGCCAGATCAGGTTGGGAACCTCTGGCAGGTAAGTGGGCATCCGGAAGCCAACAATGCCACCCCATCTCGTGGTGCTTCCTTTAGCCCTTTCTCCTTTTCTCCGATTCTTACTTTTCATTCAGCTCATGTGTTTCTTTATATGATTCGATCAACCAATATCAGTACCTTACTGCTTGCTCTTGCTTAATCAGATTTTACCCTAGTTTAGTTATATCTTAATATAACAGTAGTGACTTCTCCACTTACAAACAGTGGTTTTTAAGGAATACTTTTTAACTTCTGTGTTTTGATTAGGTTGACAGATTTTTACATTTCTTTCTCAGGGCAGTTTCTATTAAATGAGTTCTGTTAATTGTGTTTAAAATAAAAGAGAAAAGAATATGTATTTAGTTAATGCGGTGAAACGAAATGATTTGCAATGGCCAAATACTTGTCATCAAGGTAGGTCTTCTAGCACTGGTTCTAGCTTTAGAGCCTAGAGCCACCTAACTACAATCTTGGCTCTTAAGATTATACATTTTGAGTCAGCATGATATGTCTTTTATTGGGAAATCTATCCTATGTATAGATGTCAGCAAAAATCACTTACAAATTCTTGCTATGATCTGTCTCTAAGATAAGTATTTAAACACTTCCATATGCCATTTGCAGAAGACATGAGACAAAAGGTGTGGGAGGCAGCTCTTTGAGCTAGTGAATATGAGGGTTAGAAGCAATGGCTGTATGAGCTTTCCTGTTGATGACACAGTTTTAAAATGTTTCATTTATTTTATTGAGTTGATTGGGTTTTTTTTTAACGTGAATCCAATTAAGATATGTTTCCTAATTTAAAGTACGTTTGTTCACTTTTTTTTTGCTTCAGCTCTATCATATATACCACAGTATGTTAAGGTACTTTCCTCACAACAGAATTTGTTTGTGGTTAAGGAAAAATGTAGACAGTGAGTTAGGATAATGTCTTTGTTTTACTTGCTTAATCAGTGGGGTTTTTCCATATCATGAACACTGTGGTTTTGTAGATCTTTAAAACAAATACCAGCATTCTCCCAAGAAAGAAACAGTATTGTGTATGTTTTATTATATTTATATCTGTGTGCTGAAATCTTTTTTTGAGACAGAAACATATGTTTGGTGAGTTCTTATTTCTTAAAATATACACGACTCTTCAGACTGGAGTCTAATGAAATAGGACTCCCATTTAAAAAGCAAAGAGTTAAGGCTACAACAGAGGATAAAAGTGATCAAATGATTAGCCAGAGGCTAATAGAAATTCTGGGAAGAATGACAGATTGTATATTAGAAAGAAATATGATCTTATATTCATTGAAGCTTTTTACAACTAAAGATCTAAAAGTAATAATAGAAAATTACTGAAAGAGATGAATGTCTGAAATTTAAGAAATGCATGTGGTGTTGGGTTAATTCAAGCAAGAAAGACTGATGGGCAGATAATAAGTTTCATTGTGTAGGAATTCTGCATTCCTTGTTTTCAAGGTACTTTTGTCTTATTTTCCCCTGCAGGATATATTTAAGAAGTTTGAGACTAGTTGCAGAAAATTCAGTTAATGATTTTCATCGTCATACCATATGTGTATGATTCTTTGGAAAAGATAAAGTAGTATAAACAGAGGCCTCAGATCCTTGAATAGAGGAGGTTAATCTAAACCTTCTTTCTGCTCTGTGCCAGAGTGATAGCGTTTTTCTTTATGAGAATGTGAACAATATACAACATCTTTTCATATAATATCAATTGCAATGCCGCATTACAAAAGAGACTTTGCAGAAATGCACTGTTACTTATGCTAAGGGAAAAGCTGAATTCAACAACTATACTCTGCTGAGAAATCATGAAGTTAGAAATGTACATATGTATATTCTAATTAAAGAGAAGTAACTAAAATGTAATAGTAAAATAACTTAAACAGTAAAATAACTTTAAATTTTCACTTTGCTATAGATACATGTTATTTTACTTTAAAAATGCATGTGAATTGTATATGTTCATTTTTACATAAACTAGTATGTGTCCTTTTCTCTTTGTTTTTTTCTTTTTATATAGGACTATTGCTATTTATTCAGCCATTGATTAAGCTGATTGAATTTGTGTCCTTTTCTCTTTTGCTAGTCACACTATGCAATATAATAATTTGGAAGAATTTGACTACTTTTAAGTATGTTAACTGAGAAATACATGTTTTTCTTCTTAAGTCATTTAAGCCTTCTAATAAATTTCCCCGGTGTTTGCTATTCAGACTTGGCATTCATTTGTGTTCTTAGTTTTTGTAGGTCCAATGAGAAAGTGAAATGTTTCCTGAAATATAAATAATAAAATTAACATGCACATAGAGCACACTCTGTATTCTTTAGGGACATATTCTTATTGACTCTTTTTTATATACATGCCTACTCTCTGGGGTAAAGAGAGATTATTACTTCATTAAATCGAAGTTCTGATTCCAAACCATCTGAGTTTTTATATACTTAAGTATTTGAGTGTAAACTTCAGTACTTATGTATATATAGGCAATTTCTTTTTTTTTATGTTTGTAACCATATTAAAACACTTTTCAGTATATGATGATAGGCTTATAATGTTTTTTAATGGCTTATTAGAAATAGAATCATTATGAAAATGCCATAAAATAGTTATTTTGGGGTCTTATTAGATACAGTGTGACAGTAATTAGCTTTAGGTTTTGATTGCATAATACTCTGTTAATAGAATAAGGGTTACAAGTTTGCCCCTTTAATACATTGAATGGCTTCTATGAAATCTTTTCTAGTCTACTTAAGAAAGCAATTTTAAATACAATTTATTCTGCATTCAGGGTTTTTGTTTTGTTTTGTTTTTTCGATAACATGGCTGTAATGTTGGGAAAGGGAAGCACATGGAAAGATTGAGAGAAGAGAGACTTTTGTGGGGACTTTTCTTTCTAGTTACAAAGAAAAAATATCAGCTGTTTTTATTAAACTGTTTATATCTGTTGTTGCTGAATTAACCTCTGATGCCTTGAGCAAAGTTGAATGATAACAGAAGGGATTCTGCATACCTTCAAACAAAATCTTTCTGAATGACCTATAATCAAAATCACTTTGCTTAACGTAGCAGTTTGCCTTGGACTTAAAATGTAAATGAAGACAACTTAATGAACTTATAGAGTTATTTTTCTTCAATCCTGGTGTATAAACATCTTTAAGGACAGTGCAGCATGAGTTAATTTTCCACATGTTATCATAGCCCTAATGGACATCTGGGTTCCTGGGTAGATTATTCTTTAAATGTTAAAAGTTGGGGAATTCTGATATGAGCTCTTCTTTCCCTTTTGCAGCTATGTCATCTTATCTTTTCATTATTAAAACGGAACTTCCAGCTGCTATTTCAGAATTTTTGTCTGGGGACCATAGTGGGTAAGAAAAAATATTTTACTGTGTCAATTTTGAACTTAATATTTATGAAGCTGTAATGGGAACTAAAACAAATGTAGTCCTTGACCTCAAGAGACTTAGAAATTTGATATAGCGCATAGTAGTCTTGGGGAAGAAAACAGTCTTCAGATATTTATTGGTGGTCCATTACGTACAAAGAACTTTGTTGTGAATCATCTCATGGACCAAGTGTAATTTTCGCTTTCTGTGGGAGGATGATAGAGTAGGGCAGGTGAATATAAGCTACCACTTGGAAAAGAGGGAAGGTGACATTTTGGGGGTATGAAAGATTGAAAAGGGAGACAGGGTAAAACTGAGTAGCACTGATAAGAAATAGAAGAGAATGGATGATTCTGCCATCCCTTCTCAGTAAACCAGAATGATAAAGATAAACCAGAGTGATAAAGTTACAACTGTACTTGTGTGACAATTCCTATTTACCAAGCATGATTTTTAAAAATAAGTCATTTGGGGGCCAGAGAGATAGTATAACAGTAGGGCACTTGCCTTGCATGCGGCCAGCATGGGTTTGTTCACCAGCACCCTATATGGTCTCCTGAGCACTGCCAGATATGATCCCTAAGTACAGAGCCAGGAGTAGCACTGTAGCACTGTATCACTGTCTTCCCATTGTTCATCGATTTGCTCGAGCAGACACCTGTAACATCTCCATTGTGAGACTTGTTTTTATTATTTTTGGCATATCGAATACGCCATGGGGAGCCGGTAGCTTGCTGGACCCTCCGGGGGGGGACAGAGAAATCAAACCCAGGTCGGCCACGTGCAAGGCAAACGCCCTACCTGCTCCAGTCCAGAGCCAGGAGTAAACCCTGAATATTGCTGGATGTGGCCCAACACCCTTCTTCCAAAAGAAAAATAATAATAATTTGTAGGGACTTCATAGTTTTATTCCTTTCTTTTTTTAATTTTTATTACTGAAACACCATGAGGTACAGTTGTAGACTTACAAATTTTTGTGCTTGGGTTTCAGTTATGCAATGATCCAGTACCCATCCTTCCACCTATTCCTATTTTTAGACCATGTTGTTAATAGTACTTAATTATAAAATTCCTTCTTTTTCCTCTCTTATTCAAAAAATACTAAATTATCATATTATCTCATTTTTTAAAAAGGTAAAGAAATACTTCTCAAAAATTCTACTCTCTAAAAGCTGTTAATATCTGTTTTTAAGGGGGAAATTGTACTTTTCCTTTCAGCATGTATAACAAGAAATTTTGATTTTAAAAAAAGTAGGGGTGTGTTGTGGAGGGGGGTTGGCTATACCCAGTGTTGCTCAGAGGTTACTCCTGGCTCTACACTCAGAAATCACTCCTGATGGTGCTTGTGGGACCATATGGGAAGCTGGGATGGAACCCTGGCCACTTGCATGTAAGGCAAGCATGTACAATAAAGGCTATACTATTGCTCCAGCCCAAAATTTTGGGAAAAACTTGAATAGGATAGAAGAAATCATTTTATCTTTGTCTTCAAGTATTTCACATAATTTCCTAACCAGAGCACCTAAGAACTGTCAAACTTCAGACTTAATTTTTTTGTGCTCAAGTATCTGAACTTGTTTGAGATTACAGGGCAAGTTTTATGCTTTTAATTTGATGAATGCTATGTGAAACTTGTTTTAGTATTTGTATAAATACCTTGAGAACAAGTTCTTTTACTCAAAAAATCTTACAAGTTTCTTTCATAATTTACAACTGCGAGCTCAAGGCAATGAAAGTGTTAGACTAGTGCTAGAGAGACAGTAGAGGGGTTAAGTTACTTGTCTTACATTCTTCTTACCCCTGTTCAATCCCGAGCACCACTGAGTATAGCCTTCAAGTCCCCGAGAACATTGGGTGGTCTTGGTGGGTCACCAGCAACTTAGCACTGTAGCAGCACCTATGCCCTTAAGCCCTAGCAATGAGTTATTGGCCTAGTTGGCCAAGAATCATGGAATGGATGGACATCAGGCCCCCTGGGAACTGCTCGGTAGATCCCATCATTTATTATATATAAATTATGTGGTCTGTGTGTGTGTGTGTGTGTTTATATGTGTATATATGTATATTCTATACACATATATAGTGTTAACTAAGAAAATATAGATTAGAATTATGGTCTATACGTTTATGGTCTATAGTCAGCTAAGAAAACTATCTTCTTTTGGCTTTAAAATCTTGTTAGTTTTTTGGTTTTTGTTTATCGTGTACACCTAGAGACGGTACTCAGGAGCTACTTGGGGTCAGTCTCAGTAGCTGACTATTCAGAGTGTTCCATGTGGTGCTAGATATCCAACCTGGGCCTCCTAAATGAAAGCATGAGCTCCAGTCCTTTAAACGAACTCCCTGACCTATAAAACTTAATTTTGAGCTTCACCTGAATGATATAATGGAGATACCAGTAATGCTTTCTTAACCAGTAGTTATTATCACTGTAGCACTGTCCTCCTGTTGTTCGTATAATTAAATAAAATATATAAGCTTTTATAAACATAGAGCTTAGTATTAAGTTTGCAAATTTGTGAAATTCCAATTACTATGACTGGCAAGTTCCCTGTGATGTATTTGATATGCCAAAAACAGTAACAACAAGTCTCTCAATGGAGATGTTACTGGACTCACTTGACCAAATTGATGAACAACAGGAGAACAGTGCTACAGTACAATGACTGTTAACGTTGTTTTTTTTCCTTTTGCTCTGACTCCCTACCAAATTTGAGTCAAATTTGAATGCTTTGAATAAATTTTATTTATTTTAATAATTGTCATACATGTTTTTCTTTTAATTGTCCTAAATTTGGTGACTTTTTATTTTACAATTTTTAATTGTGATATAAATTTGTGTAAAGAGAAATAAATTATTTCTAAGATCATGAGATCTTAGAAAGAATTAAGGTACTCTCTGGTGAAATTCAATTAAACTTAGGTCTTTTTCCCTAAAAGTATTATTTTATCATAGCTTTTTAAAAAATAGTTGCCATTTACATCGTTTTTCCTTTTTTAAAATGAAAACAAAATTAACTCCCATCTCACTCAGTTCATTGAAAATTAATAAAAATCTTACTTTCACATGTCAGAAATGGATTTTCAAAATGGAATATTTCAAAATACTCCAGCCAGCTTGCATCTCTGTTAAGATATTTTTTAATTATACATTTTAATAAACTCATCTTGATATAAATGTTATGTGTATTTGCTTCAGCTGGATTTCAAAGTTTTGAAAAACATTAATAAGTCACTAAATTACTTAGAATACAGATAAATCATTAGGTTTTAAAGATTAATGCTATAAAATAATTAGGAAATAAATGTCATGGTTATTGACTATCTAGGCATTTTGGTTCTAGGGTTACACAGCAATATTTCTTCTGTGAAATCAGTGATATTGAAATGCTTTTATTTTGGAGTTGATTTACAGTATTTTATAGTTAAGGTCTTTTAGGTGTACTTATTTTCTGGGTTACCTGAAAACTTTAGTACATCTTTGTAAAATATAAGCCTTTGTAAAATGTTATAAAGAGGATTTTTGCTCAAACTATTCTAACTTTTAAAGTATTATTGGAAGTCAGCTATAATACTTATAATGGACTTTTGTGAGATATTGATATTTTTTATAGAATAGCTTATATTTAAAAAATCTATGACTGTTAAAAGTTGGAAGCTCTCTGTTAACATTTAATGATCTTGTCAGGGGAATATGATTGACACAATTAAGTTGTCTTGCATTTGAGTTACATAATTGATATGGGATGTGAGTAAGATCCTAATTCAGAACATATGATACTCTTGTTCCATTCCATTCGAGAATGAAATTAAAGCAACTTATAAATAAATCTGGTTTTCATTAGAATATGGAAAAAAACATCTGCATGCCAAAGCATTTGCAATACAGCTAAGGATTTATGCTCCATATTTCATACTGGGAACATTTTTATCATATAGGATTAAATTCACAGATCAAACAAGTTTTCTAGGAAGTATAAAACTTTTTACTCTAATTATTTGGCTTAAAAACAATGTATACTTAGATCACAGTAGGAAAACAGGGATTCTATTAGATAATTCTTTTTTAGCCCCCCACCCCTGCTTAGGAAAAAATTAAGCTTAGTATATATTCTAATGTCTTGATTTTTGTTATTATTTATATTTAGTGGTGCTTGACCCCCTCTTTTTTTCCCTCTTACTGGTTTTATTTTGTAAGTATAGTCCTTTCTATTCTTTGTGAAATGTCTGTTTCCAAACACAATTCAGTTAACTGTGATGTGTACATGAAGTTCAACTAACTTTATTTTCATAGAGTCTTTAGCTTTATTGTTATTACTTCATTGCCTTTAATGCTGATGACTAATAAAGGAAAGCATTTTAATTATAATTGGTTTTATTACCATAGCTTAATAATGATATTAGCCAGTACCACTGCTAGGGATGGAGAAGATATATTTGCAACACAGTTCTTTTTATACTAAGAATTTAAAGTTCGATCCTTCAAGAGGAGTGTATGAAAGCACCATCTTGAAATAAACAAGGCAGTGTCAAAAAATATCATAAACTCACATTGACTTAGACTGAATTCTTCCCCGAAAAGGGAGTTCCTTTTCCTTTCTCTACTGCTTTCCAATAAACTTTTCTATTTTCTAAAACAAAAAACAAAAATAACCCAGTGAAGTTTCAGGAGTAGAAAATATTTCTGTTGCTTTTACCACTTAAGATCATCTTCCTTTTGTTGATTTTACAGGCTAATAAAAAAGAAACTGTTGGCTCAGATGATCTTTACAACATGGTTCCTGTATCTCTAACATTACATTACTCTGCATCTGAGTTGTTGCTCAGAGGGGAGGGGGCAGTGGGATTTATCTTTAGACCCTCCCCAGTTCATTGCATTGGCCACTGTCTTCCATGGACAAGAATGGTGATCTGAACTAGTATAAAGTTACAAGATAGAAGAGCATAAGTTAAGAAGATCATATCTGGGAAATGTTTGTTTATGTTCCTTTATTCTAATGCAAGAGGAAAGAGTGTCTGGTCCTGAGGATTAGTATGCTCACTTTGCACAATTCCACCTTCCGGACAGCCGGGATGGCAGAACTAACAGATGGAATCTGCTTTGGCGCTCCTTTGGGCATTTTTTCTCCTGGCGCTGCAACTGTTGGATCTGATATTGGATCCCAGAAGGAAGGAGATTTCAGGCATGGAGCCCTGGGCTCTTTGCCAACTTAAGAAATTTAGTTGCCAGGTGCTCCTTGATGAGGGACTTTTTTTTTTTTTTAATTCTCATTTTGCTTCTTGTTAGGTGAACATGCTAAGTATTTTTTTTAATGTATGTATTTTCTTTGAAGTTTCTGCATGCTAAGAACTGAAAGACATGTGCAAATGCAGAGTACACAGCTCCAGATCCATAACAGCTAGAAACAGGTTTGATAAAAATCAAATAGAATAGGTGCAAAATGTTTTAGTGTCTTGTCCAGGTACTATGTAAAGACATGAATTAGGGTGGAGGAGAGAGAGGTGAGATCATGTTGCTTTTTCTGCTGCTGCTCCTTCTCTTGTTCTGTTAAAGAAATTGTCAGCACCCAGCAGTATCATTAAAAATGCATTAGAGGGGTAGGAGATAGTTTGAAGGGATGGAGTGTGTGCTTAGCATGCTGGAGCCTGGGTTTCATCCCCAAGCAGCGCATGGTCCCTCAAGCAACCTCAAAGCACTATGCCAAAAACAAAGACAAACAAAAATGATAGTTTCGAGAGAACTTCCTCACAGCCCACAGCGTAAAAGACGTAGTCCTCTCTGGAGAGATCATTTACTGCGCTGAGTGTATGCTTTGCGTGTAGCAGTGCCCCAGATTCAAACCCACACACCCAGAGTGCCTCAAGTAGCCCCAGAAACAACCTCTCTGAGCAGTGAGCCTTGAGCATTTTCCAGGTGTCCATCCCCTTCTAAGGAAACAAAAAGGTACAATGAATTAGGAACTTCATATTAGAAGCCAGGACTTGAAATTGATATACCTTTTTTTTTAATTGAAATATATTCGAGAGGTATCTATGTAGAAGTTGAAGGTATACAGTGTTGAGCTGATATGCTTTAATGTTGCGATACGACTATCACCATAAAATATCTCCATCAAGTTACTTTTTGTGGTAAAAAAAAAAAATTTCAGGTAGGGGCTGGAGCAGTAGTACAGCATGTAGGTCTTTTGCCTTGCGTGCGGCCCAACTGGGTTCAATCTTGGCACCCTATATGGTCCTCCAAGCAATGCCAGGAGTAGAGTGCAGAGCCAGGAGCAACCCCTGAGTGTCACTGGGTGTGGCTCAGATCCCCCACCCCAATCCCAAGAAAGAAACTTTCAAGTATACATAACAGTATTAACACTGATCATGGTTGATGTGCATAAGATCCCCAGGACTTAATTCATCTCCTAACTGCAAACTCGGAGCATTTGATCACCATCTCAGTTTTCCCATCCTTACCTCTAGCCTCTGGCCTCTGGTAACTTGGGCATAAAAATACATTCTGCTCTGCTTTTTCAGATTCCACATAAAAGTGATATATAGTGTTTGTCTTTCTTCTTTTGCTTTATCTCACTTAACATAATGCCCTCTTTTTTATTTTTTTCTCTCTCTTATTTTTTTGATAGTGTTTGAGGGATATGCTGTTTGAAAGTGTTCCCTCTCTTTAATTTTTGGGGAAAGAGTTTAAGGAGACATGGTATTGATTTTTTTTTTAACTGTTACGTAGAATTCAGTAAAACTTTCTCTGGTCCAACCTTACAATCTTTAAATAAATATTTTTAAAGATTTTTTTGTTCTTATTATCCACTGTTTCCTATGTTTAAGTCATTTATAAATGTTAAAACATATAACTATTTCAAAGTTCTCAGAATCTATTGCCAGTTCTTTTTCCAGAAGAATAATATAAACCATTTATGTATTCATCAGTTTTGTTGACACCGTATTCTTTAGCAACAGTGTCTATTATCTTTTATACTTAATATTAATATATTTGCAAACCTGGTGGTTGAAAAATGATAGCTCATGGGATGGATATGTTTCTTTAATATAAATGCATAAATAAGAATAATAGAATCCTACAGGAATAGGATTTTTTTAACAGACAGAAATAGATTTTCCCTAATGAGTGGTTTTAATGAGTGACTCTGTGTGTGTGTGTGTGTGTGTGTGTGTAACTGTGTGTGTAACTTTGTGTGTGTGTGTGTGTGTGTGTGTGAATGCAAACTTTGGAGTTTTGTGTCTAAAATAGGACTAAAACAGGACATCATTTTCCCCAATAGGTCTTGGTATCTTGATGGACAAACACTTCTGATTATCATTTGTGTTGGCATTGTGTTCCCTCTTGCACTTCTTCCTAAAATAGGTAAGTGTTTTTCCAGAAGACAACACTATTTGTTTAGAAGAAAGAGTGTGGGTGTGTATGTGTGTGTGTGTGCCTGTGTGCGTGTGTGTGTGTGTGCGCGCGCGTGTGTGTGTGTATGTGTGTGTGTGTGTGTGTGTGTGTGTGTGTATGGAGGAGCCGGGGGCTGCAAATGAATGACAAGAAATAGCATTTAGGGGCTTTTAAACTTCATGGTATCGAAGGGCGGTGGTTGTGAATAACTTTAATTTGGTCTTATTTTAGGTTGTTCAGCCTTCAGTCCTGCCTAGTTAACCTATTACTTGGTTTGCAGTAGTATTTTGTCTGCCCCACTAAAATAAAATCTTTACAGCAGAACATTAAAGAGCAGCCTTTCCTTACAGTGTACCATTAGTGGTAAGCCAGTTCCAATTGTGCTGTACAGAACTACATAAATGATCTGTGACAGATAGTTGGAATGTTGTTATTCTCAGCCCTAAGCCCCAGATACTAAAGCATTGTAATAGAAAACATGCCCAAGATGGATAGCTTTAGCTGTACATTAGGATCACTTTCCTTATAAATTGCTTTTTATTTTACTGTTATTTTACAGGCTTTCTTGGCTACACGAGTAGCTTATCATTTTTCTTTATGCTGTTCTTTGCTCTTGTGGTAAGTTGAAAATACAGTATATTGCTTATCTCTTCACTAAAATTCAACCCATTATAATAATGTTCTTTAATTCATTTTTGTTGTTATTGGGAATAACTTTTATTTCAATGTGTTATTCAAAGCAGTTTTGTTCCACAAACCTATTTCCTTTATATCTACTTTGAATACTCGACTGCAGCAGCATCTCAAGTTCATTATCTCTTGTTCTTTACTAGGGAATGGAGCAGACTAATTCACTTAAAACCTTAAAGAATAATTCTAGGTGTAAGTTTGTGTATACCATGTTTTTGTTGTTGATGGTGATGATGTTTACAGTATTGTATGTGTGTGTGGTAACTCAAGGATGAGAATCAGGCTGGTTCTAATCTATAAAATCAATTTCATGCTAATCGCAACTTTGAGACTTGGTCTTATTAATGGATCCAGAGCTTCTGGGTTTTAACTGTGAAGGAGCTCTAGTAAGAATTAGATGCCTGAATTCAGTGTGGTTTATTTATTTTACATAAGTAAGTTCTTACAAAAATATTACTAAAATAATTCTTTCACATATGAGATTTTTTCTTTTTTTTTTTGCTTTTTGGGTCACACCCGGCAATGCATAGGGGTCACTCCTGGCTCTGCGCTCAGGAATTACCCCTGGTGGTGCTCAGGGGACCATATGGGATGCTGGGAATCGAACCCGGGTCAGCCACGTGCAAGGCAAACGCCCTACCCGCTGTGCTATCGCTCCAGCCCCTGAGATATTTTTTTACTTCTAAAATTAGCTCACTTTTTTTGTAACAGGAAAAAATATTTCTCATTAAACTTAAACTTAAAATTTTAATACATTTGGAGCAATAGCACAGCGGTAGGGCGTTCGCCTTACAAGCGGCCAACATGGCCGACCCGAGTTCGATTCCTCCGCCCCTCTCGGAGAGCCCGGCAAGCTACCGAGAGTATTCGATATGCCAGACACAGTAACAACAAAGTCTCCAATGGAGACGTTACTGGGCCCGCTCGAGCAAATCGACGATCAACGGGAGGGGCCTTTTTAAGATTAAATACAATTTATTGAAGCAACATAGTTTTGTTTTACAGTAGCATTGACTGTAGCATTATAACATTTTCAGATGTTCATTGTTGAAAAGCACCGTGTGTATATGTACTATATCAAATTCACCAATTAAAGTCTTATTCTATCCTTCACTATATATTTGTCCCCTTTATCCCAATTTATCTACTCTCCTTCCCCCTTTATTTCTGATAACCTTAATTGGCCAAATAGAACAAAAGTTATCTTGGGCTTTATGTAACTTCATCTGTACATTTTCTCTATGTTGCATAAATGTGTGAAAAATCATATGGTGTTTGTCTTTCACAGTTGACTCTTCATTAAACATTATGTCCTCTAGGTTTATACTTATTAATTGCAGGGCTTCGTCTTTTAAGAAAATAACTGACTAATACTCTGTAGTGGACACTGGAATATTATGGACATGGTATCATATCTTTATCCATTCATAAATTAATGAATACTCCACTGCAGCAGCATCTCAAGTTCATTATCTCTTGTTCTTTACTAGGGAATGGAGCAGACTAATTCACTTAAAACCTTAAAGAATAATTCCTTAAGAATTATTATAAATTATTATAAAATTATAATAAAACCTTAAAGAATAATTGGCTTGTCCTCCCCACCCCAACAAGACCCCAAGTCATCTCCCACAAATGGCCTTTCTGGCTCCTGATCAAGCTGCTCAACGGCCATGATCCCAGAGACTCAGGAGCAAATCTCGAAACCCAGTGGCTTTTGGCAGAAATCCCTCCAGATTTAAGTGTTAAAATTTCAGAATTTCAAAATCACATGGCCTTACTGCAGCCACATGACATCATATGTTATTCATAACCAGCAATAGAACACAAATTGTCTACTGTTGCCTTTTCAGCAGATCTGAGTGTTGGGGTAAAATCTCAAATAATAATGGTGGGTCTAGTGTCGAAATATTGAATGTGATCAAAGTAGAGTAATGTGAATATCATCTGCCCCACAGGTAGAGGGAGGGTGTGGGATGGGGGTATACTGGGGTTTTTGGTGGTGGAGAATGGGCACTGGTGAAGGTACGGGTGTTTCATTGTATGACCGAGACTTAAACCCGAAAGCTTTGTAACTGTTCTCACGGTGATTCAATAAATAAAATTATTAAAAAAATGGAAAAAAAAGTAATGTGGAGTTCATGTACAATCCAATCAGCTAATCAGTGGCTGAATAAATAGCAGTACTCCTACATTTAAAAAAAAAAGAAATAATGGCAGTCCAGACATTGCATAGGTAGAAATAATTTGATATTTGGTTTGCTCTTCAAGACTGTGTTCTCCTTTGAACACCTATCTTGCTTGATTATATCGCTGTCTCTCTGCTTTTCAAAGGCCTGTTTTCTCTTGAACATATCTTTATTTGTTCTTATCCCTTCACATCCTTCAAAAGTTGGTTTTGTTCAATAAAAAACTATCTTGTTTCACTGAAAAAAAGAGAGAGAAAAGGAAAAAAGATTTTTATTGCTGATAGCTTGAAGCTGATACATTGATATGCCCCTTGATTGTGGTTGTAATAGTGCTCATTTCTATCACAGCAGATCCTTTTCACTCTCTAATTCAGGTTTCTTGTTTATTTTGATGGGGGGAGGAGTTCCAAGTGGTGCTCACGAGATCAAGGGGTCTCACCAACAATTCTGTTCTGACCCTGAAGTGCCAGGATCACCCAGGCCACCCTGCTGTGATGGGGCTTCCAAGGTCACACCTGGTGGTTCTCAGGGCCTGCTTTGCTGGGGGACCATGTGGTGCCTAGAATCAACCAGATCTGGTGCATGCTAGACATGTGCCTTTGCCTCTGTCCTCTCTCCCAACCTTTTTAATGCAGGTTTTAACTGTGGAAGTCATTTGCAAACAATACTCTTATTCTGCACATATTGTCAGTGCTCTACAAACACCTGTGGGATTTTCCTGTGAGCACAATTTAAATTTGCTCAGTTGGGGACAGTGTCTCCATGTGCTCCAATGAGACAATGAAGACTATACAATTTTTTTAATGCTTCTTTAAATTTTATATCCTCTAAATATTAGACTTTTAAATGCATAATGCATAATGTAATGAATGGTTAGGAAAGGAAATGATATCTGTTAACACAGATTATTTTTGGAAGGATGCCGACTTTGTGCATGACTGTTTTTGTTGGTATGTTTTGTAAGTCAATTAACATTTATATAACATATATATTTTAAAAATTGGCCCAGCGGGTTAGAAGCTTGCTTTGGAGGAGGCTGACTCAGATTTGATCCCTGGAACCCCATTTGGTCTCTTGAGCCCTGCTAAAGTGATCCCTGAGCATAGAGTAAGCCCTGAACATTGCTGATTATGGCCCCAAAACTAAAAAATAAATGAAAATTTATCAATAAAAATGTCATTTTCCTAAAATCTTCAAATTTTGCAGATAAAGACTTATAGTCATTCACAGTCCTAGACAGGACTGGAGCGTTAGTGCAGCAGGTAGGACATTTGCCTTGCACGCAGCTGACCCGGTTCCTCCACCCCGCTCAGAGAGCCCGGAAAGCTACCGAGAGCATCCCGCCCCCCCCATGGCAAAGCCTGGCAAGCTACCTGTGACATAGTCAACATGCCAGAAAACAATAACAAAAAGTCTCACAATGGAGACATTACTGGTGCCCACTCAAGAAAATCGATTAACAACGGGAGGACAGTGCTACAGTGCTATTGTCCTAGACACTTTTTTTGCATAAAAAATTTAACATAAGTGTTTGTCCCCTCTGAAATATCTAAAATTTCCCATTAAATTTTACTTAACAGTGGCGCAGAATGACTGCAATAACATGGCTTTCCCCAATTTGTTTATTTTATTTTATTTTTGGCTTTTTGGGTCACACCCGGCGATGCACAGGGATTACTACTGGCGCGTGCGCTCAGGAATCACTCCTGGTAGTGCTCAGGGGACCATATGGGATGCTGGGAATCTAACCTGGGTCGGCCATGTGCAAGGCAAACGTCCTACCATCTCTGCTATCGCTCCAGCCCCGGCTTTCCCTAATTTGGTGAATTTAACTTTTGGTAAGTTCATTGTGGAACACAAATGTATTTATTGTCATCCTTTCCAAATATTCTGTCATGATCACAGATTAGTGATATAGAAATAAATCAGTAACCAGAATAGAGAATTATTTCAGTCCATTTTAATCAGATGCTTTTCTTCTGCTGAGCACTGTTAGGCATTATAGAGTTTGGGAGAATTTAATCTGTACCTTACTCTGTTTTGGTTTGGGTGCTGTACTTGGCAATCTTCCTTCTACAAAGTGTTCAGAGGCTCATGTATTTTGCAAGGAGTTAGACTTTTGCATGTGAAGCAGGTACTCTGGCCCTTTGTGCCATCTCCTTGGTCTGCTTAGGGATCTCTCAATCTGTTAGAAGAAACAAACTAAATGTATTACAGAAAAAAAACAATACAGGCACTATGTAATTGAGAAAAAAAAGTGTTTGCTTTAGAATAAGGACTGTAAGACTTGAGAGAAAAGAAAGATCACTGTGACTAAAGTAAAGAAAGGTGTGAAAGAAAGAAAGCAAAACTTGAACTGAGTCTTAGGAACTTGGAAAGACATAGAACAGAGAGAGGGAAGAACCTTTTGTGCAAGTGAGCAGGTATTTTAATGTTTTGTTTGTTTGTTTGCTTGTTTGTTTTTTGGAAGTCCAAAACCAGCAGTGCTCAGAGTTACTCCCAACTCTGCTCAGGGATTATTCCCGGCAGGGCTAAGGGGACCATAGAGGTTGCTGGACAATTGATCCCAGGTTGGCTGCATGCAAAGCAAATGCTCTACTCACTATACTATCACTTGGCCCCATAATGTTTTTAATCAAATATTATTATTATTATTATTATTTGCTTTGGGGGACTTCACCCGGTGATAATTAGGAAATCATGCTATGCCTAGGATTGAACCTGGGCCTTTTGAATGCTCTCCATCCCTTTGAGTTATCTCCCTAGGCCTGAACAGTTATTTAAGAGGCGGGGTTGGAGGGTTTGGGATAAACCACACTTAGTAGTCCTAAGGGTTCACTCTGTGCTCAGCGGTCCCTTCTGGAAGTGCTCAGTGGACTGTATTGCTGGGGAGCAAATCCACATGCAAGATAGGAGCTTTACCTCATGTACTATCTCTAACCCACAAGCAAGTTTTTTTTTTCTTTTAGTTTTTTTTATTGAGCAGATGTTTTTAATATGTATATTTCATTTCTCTATTTCTTTCTATGCCCTAGAATTATCTTCTTACTATGTCTGTCTTCAACCTGAGACTGTTACTCTTTGTTATTTTACATATCCATTTCTGTTATCTGGTTTTTGCTTTCTAGGACATTATCTCTGTTCTTCCTGTTCTACCGTGCAGGCTTAGTATTCAGTTTGAATTTTTTTTTTAAATTTGTATTTTTGCAGTCTGATAAGAATAGTTGATGAGATAAATGAGGTAACTCACATAGAGTTGATCAAAGCACATGGTGCGAATCAAGGACTCCCTAAGTGGTTAAGTCTGTGACCACTTGGACTGGAAGGAAGGAAGATGAGAGAAACTTCATTTGGCAGGAAGGAAAGAGATAAAACTAACAGCCTTGATTCTCTAGCTTCTACCCTACCTTGAGTTAAAAAATTAGCAGAGAAAAAAGGGCAGTGATATTATTGGGGTTTTTTTTTCCCCTCATAAACTGGCCTTTTCATTCCATATTGTAAAAGTAGCTAGAAATGTCAAAGCAACTTCTTTAACTTCGAATTATTGGGAGGAGGGTGGCAATGGGGGGGGAGAGGAGGGGTTAAGGATTTTAATTAATGGTAATTCTTTAGCTCACACCTTAATTTAATCCTAAAAGTATTTATTTTCCTTAGATTTGTTTAATCGGTACATAAAATTTTGAATAACATAGTTAAAATTCAAAACTAGATAAGTACCAAATAGGAATACTGTTTACTTATTGGTCTCCTGCAAAGGACAAATGTTTCCTTTATTATCCCTTGCCCTTGTGTGCTGGGTTTCAGCCCAGAGCAAACATTTACAGAGTGATTATGTGCCTAAAACAACTGTGCCCATGGTAATGCTAACACAGTAACTCCCTAGGTCTAGGAACAGGAAGCTGCAAAAAAGTAAGGAAGAGTGAAATCCTGAAATGTTTTCATTGATTGTTCTGTGAATTAGCATCGCTCTGGATTTCTTCTAATGTTTTTTAAAATCCATTTTTTATCTTGTTTCTGTCCAGCTTTATTCACATTTACCAAAAGCAATACTGAAAAAAGCTAAGAGGGCCAGCAGTCTGTAGCAGAAATGCTTGAGCCTCCTCTTTGCATGAAGGCTCTACTCATTTCTTCATGTGGCTGTTTCCAAAACCGCTATTAATATTTTACTGTTTGTTACTGGTGCCAGGTCCACAAATAACTGTATTCTTGTTCCATTGTCACTAATACCACTGTGTTCCCATTTTGAGTTGCACTGTATTGATACTCAGCAGAGTTTTGAGAGTTGCTACAAGCATATTTTTAGACTTCAATGAGGCAATCTCCCAAAACTGGATTGCAGCATTTCTATATTCTATATTCTATATTCTGACCCACATCCCCAGCGATAGGTAACCATGTTAAATGATGATCTCTTTGAATGATGACCCCGCTCTAACTAGAAAAACACATATGCTCAGAGAACTTTCTGTTTGCTAGCATCTTATTTGGTGTGGTGGTAGATTTATTGAAGTAATTCTAACCTATTTAAAATTGATTTTGTGTCATAAATTTATAAAAATAATTTGAATGCTGATTTTATTTGTTTTTACAGATAATAATTAAAAAGTGGTCCATTCCTTGTCCTCTGTCATTAAATTTTATAGAACAGTACTTTCAGGTAATTATTTACATTCTCAGTTTCTTCCTTTTTAACCTAAAAGAAAAATAAAAGATGAGTGACAATTTTTTTCAAATGAATAAAAGTAACACTGTGTTGTATTTTGAAACTTTGTTTTGAAATATTTTTATTTGAAAGCCTAGTAGTAATAAGTTCATTATTTTTGTTGATGTAGTTTGACTTTTAATGACTGTTCGTTTCCCTCTTTCCCTTCAATCCTCTTAAACAGATTTCAAATGCTACAGATGATTGTAAACCAAAGCTCTTTCATTTTTCCAAAGAGGTGTGTAAGTTATTAACAGATACTTTTGGTCGATTTTTCACATTTCAAGTTTTAAGAGATTTGTGTAATAGAGTCTCGTAGGTCTTTGTACCTGTACCTAATTAATTTTCATGAAAGTGCTAAGTATAGAGTTGCCTACCAGAAGAGTAATATTATTTAACACAGGGTGGCCCATTATGAAACAGCCACTTTTTTTTTTTCTGGCATGCTTTTAAATGGAGCCTGTTTTAAATGGGCCACTGCCTAAAAGAACAGATTTACCGAATGTCTGGTCTGGCCAATAAGGTCCTCTGTGGATACAGACTTCCTGCTGCCCTCTGGACTTGTTAAGCTAAATAGCCAATTATATCAAAACTCCTCCCATGTGAGTAGAACCGTAGTCTGTAGCTCAAGAGCCTCATCATTGGTCCAACAATTGAGTGCTGCCAATAGATCTCTTCGCCAACATTCCAAAGTTGAAGTTTATGAAGCTGGGGTAGAAACTCAAAGACCAAGTCTCCTTGCCTTCTCTTAGAACCTTAAGATCCATCTCTGATATCCTAGAAATGCCTACTGGAGCCTCTAAGCAGCTGCAGAGGAGACAGGAACTGTGACCTGAATAATTTCTGTTTTGCCATTCTAGAAGAGCTCAAAATCTTTCCTGTTGTTGCAAATTTCTTCATCAGTACTTTTAAAATGCTGTCAAAGTGCAAGCCCCAGATATTAGAATCCCCTCTGCTCATGTACAGTTAACTCTGTCAGTGCAGCATGTTATGTGTGATAACTTCTTTATGCAGAATTATCTGTTTTTATCCTCATATTTTAGATGAGAAATCATTCTCTGGCCCTGCAGGAAGTACCATATCTTTTACATGGCAGAGCCGTCCGTGTGCCTTACGATCTTGGTAGGGTAATTGACAAGTCAGGAAATTAAGCAATATATGAAGGAGAATTTGTGATTTAAACTCTCATTCCCCTAATCCAGCATCAGGAAACACTATTGCCCCTCACAAATATTTCAGGAGGCATTATGTCCCAAGATAGGTCTTTGGTCATCTGGAACTTCTTTTGCTAAAGAGCCTAATGATTAAGGGGAACTTTTTTTCCAAAGTAGGAAAGAGAAATTTAAATCATCATCATTCATTTTGTAGAGAGAGTTTTCACTTAGATCGTAACTTTTTTTGCTTTGTAACTTCCTTGTTCTCTTAAGTATTCTTACCAAAAGAGACAAAAAGAAAAGAAAACAATGTATGCTAACATTTCTGTGGTTCTCTAAAATTTTGTCAGTCTATAATAAATTATGTTTATCCCCATTGAAAGATTCAGTAGTCAAAAATGTTGATAATTTTTTTAAATTTTATTGAATCACCATGAGATATTTATAAGCTTTCATGTTTGGGTTACAGTCACACACACAATGATCAAACACCCATCCCTCCACCAGTGCACATTCCCCACCACCAATATCCCTGGTATACCCCCCCTTTCCCACTCTCCCTCTGCCTCCATGGCAGACATGATTCCCCATAATCTCTCTCTAATTTTGGGCATTATGGTTTGCAATACAGACCCTAAGAGGTTATCACATGTTTGGTCCTTTACCTACTTTCTGCACACAAAATGTTGATTCTTAAGAGGTGATTATTTTCAGTCTTTTCTTGAGTGAGTTGAGGAAAGCAGGTTCAAATATTAATTATTATGCTGCTTAAAGTAATAATATATGTATACATTAGGAACTACTGAGAATTTCATATAGTAATATCATTTCTAGAATGTTATGATTTTTAAAATGATAATACAAATATCTCTAAAGATATGTTGTTTACCAAATTTTTAATGGAAAACTACTATATTGCCAAATATAGTATTTTTCAAGCAGCATTTAATAATTTCCTCTTTTTACATTTTTTTCAGAGTGCTTATGCCATACCAACCATGGCTTTTTCATTTCTCTGCCATACATCAATATTGCCCATATACTGTGAACTTGAAAGGTATTATAGAGTCCGGGAGTACTTTAAATGTATTTAAAATGTCTTTCTACTTCTGGAATTTTCTGAATGAATGATATTTTCTTTTATTAATACTTTCTTCCTATTACTGGGTCCTGAGTGTTGTTATTTTAAGAAAAAACAACCAAGAATTAGTTCTGTCAAGTTAAGAACATTTTCTAAATTTGTAATCTTTGTGAAACAATTTCAAATCATAAATTCCATTGCATAGTTATTAATGTATCATGTCTTTTTAATTTATTTTTTTAAAGCTCTGGGTCTTAATTATTAAGTTACCCTCTTTCTTAGCTTGAGGAGTTTTTGTTGCTTTAGATAGACTTATTTAGATGATAAAAATGATTATTTTTGTCATTTTTTACTTTTATTAGGCCTTCAAAGAAAAGAATGCAGAATGTAACCAATACAGCAATTGCTTTAAGTTTTCTCATTTATTTTATATCTGCACTTTTTGGGTACCTCACTTTTTATGGTAAGTGTTTTTTCTAAATATTTTTGCCAAAATAAATTATTCTATTGTAGATCTCAGACCTGAAATTCAACTCTTGTTTCGGAACTCAGTAAATTTCCTTTGCTCAGGTAGGTACCTAGAATTTGTTGTAAAACTGTGTCAACTCTCCAGATAAAGAATTGATTTTCTGAGACCAGAGAGATAGTATAGCAGGTAAGATACTTGCCTTGCATGTGGCTACCCCCAGTTTGGTCCCCAGCACCACACAGGCACCCCCCCCTTCTCGCCCCCAAGCATAACCAGGAATGATTCCTGTGCACAGAACCAGGAGTAAATCCCAAATCAAATATTTTTTTTTCCCTTTCTGTCCCTGTCACTGTCCTTTCCGTTGTTCATCGATTTGCTCGAGCAGCCCAGTAACGTCTCCATTGTGACAATTGGTTACTGTTTGGCATATTGAATATGTCACAGGTAGCTTGCCAGGCTTTGCCGTGTGGGCAGGATACTCTCGGTAGCTTTCATGGCTCTCCATGAAAGATTCAAACTCAGGTCAGCCATGTTGGCTACTTGCAAGGCAAACGCCCTACCCGCTGTACTATCGCTCCAGCCCTTTTTCCCTTTAAAGTTTAGCAACAATATGAAAATTTACTTAAACATTTGGGCTAGAGCGATAGCACAGCAGGTAGGGTGTTTTGCTCGAGTGGGCCCAGTAATATTGTGAGACTTGTTGTTAATGTGTTTGGCATATCGAATATGTCACACGGGTAGCTTGCCATCGATCAAGCAAATCGATGAACAATGGGAGGAGTGCTACGGTGCTACTTAAACATTTAAATAATACCTCAAACTTAGGGATATTGATGTCTTTCTATATGTGTGACTGTGATTTTATTTTTTCATTGAGAATTTGATATACTAGGTCAGAAGTTTGTATGGTTGGGAACACCATTTATCTTGATTGCAAAATAGCTAGTTGAGAAACAAGGAGTATCATAGGGACTGAAGCAATAGTACAGGGGTAAGACTCTTGCCTTCTGCGTGGCTGACCTGGATTTGATCTTCAGAACTCCATATGGTCCCCCAAGCCTCTAAGAGTGATCTCTGAGAGCAAGACCAGAGAGTAAGCCCTGAGCACCTTCAGGTATGGCCTCCTGCAAAAAACAGAAAGTACTGGACTATGGCATACATTTAGCTATCAGAGAGGTCTGCCATCGAACTTAATTCCCATGATACTAGTAAGAGATCAGTAAGTGGTGAAAGACAACAGAACTGGCATTGGTCTATAGAACTGAACTTCCCAATTGGGAAGGTATAGATGGGAGAGGTCTTTGGGACATTGGTGGAGGGAAGTGGACACTCTGGTGATGGGTGTGGTATTGGAAGGATGTATGCATGAAAACTCATTAACAGTACTATAAATCATGCTACCTCAATAAAAATGGGGTGGAATTCACATAATACAACAGATATGTATTCTATGGTGCACTGTGACCTCTCAATTGCTCAAAGTTTTCTTTTAAATCCCTAAAATAAATTTGTTCTTTTATTTACTCTTGATTCATGCTTGAAAAATTTTGGGTTTGGTATGTGGTGTTCTTTCTTCTGATGCGAATCCCCTTAAAGAAAACCATTCACCGAAGGGATCACTAAGAAAATGATGACTTGAGGAATCGGTCGGGATGGGAGATGTGTGCTGAAAGTAGATAAAGGACCAAACATGATATCCTCTCAGTGTCTGTATTGCAAACCATAATGCCCAAAAGTAGAGGAGTGTATGGGGGAAATTGTCTGCTATGGAGGCAGGGGGAGGTTAGGAAAGGGGGCGTATACCGGGGACATTGGTGGTGGGAAATGTGCACTGGTGGAGGGATGGGTGTTTGATCATTGTGTGATTGTAACCCAAAGATGAAAGCTTGTAATTATCTCACGGTGATTCAATAAAAATTGAAAGAAAGAAAGAGAGAGAGAGAGAGAGAGAGAGAGAGAGAAAGGAAGGAAGGAAGGAAGGAAGGAAGGAAGGAAGGAAGGAAGGAAGGAAGAAAGAAAGAAAGAAAACCATTCAAAGTCTCAAACAAGGACTGCAGAGAGAGGTCAAAAGGATGGAGCACATGCCTTGCTGCATGAGGCCCCAAGTTTGATTCTTGGCATTGTACAGCCCCAGTGGCCCCTAAGCTCCATGGAGATGCCATTCTGGCCCACAGCACTGCTGGTCCTGATCACCGAATCATCTGGCTTAGTTGAAATGGTTCCCGGCCTCCTTAGCACCACACCCCCCCAAAAAAAAGATCAGAACAAGGGGCTGGAGCGATATAGTACAGTGGGGAGGGCGTTTGCCTTGCATGTGACTGACCCGGGTTCGATTCCCAGCATCCCATATGGTCCCCCGAGCACCTCCAGGAGTAATTCCTGTGTGCAGAGCCAGGAGTAACCCCTGTGCATCGCCGAGTGTGACCCAAAAAGAAAAAAAAATCAGAACAAGAAAAATATAAACTATCATTTAATTTGCAAACACATTATAACATATTGTACTCAATTTGTCAAATAATTGAATATGCTTTTCATTTGATAAATGCTTTTATAGCAACTCTCCAAGTGAAGGGCTTCTATAACTTGGGTGTTATTTTGTTGTTCTGACTCTGATTTCATCTTATGCACATGTTTCGGGTTTTGCCTAAAACTTAATAGTGATAGCTTTTAATGGTGTTTCACTTATCTTCCAGAGTGTTTTCAGGTGGGACAAGTTTACTTGCATAGCTTTCCAAAACCTGGTTGAGAGATTTTTAAATTCCAATAAATGTGGTTCAGGTAGCTTTCTTTTGAAATTTAGATTTGTATGCTGGAGCGATAGCACAGCGGGTAGGGCGTTCGCCTTACAAGCGGCCAACATGGCCGACCCGAGTTCGATTCCTCCGCCCCTCTCGGAGAGCCCGGCAAGCTACCGAGAGTATTCGATATGCCAGACACAGTAACAACAAAGTCTCCAATGGAGACGTTACTGGGCCCGCTCGAGCAAATCGACGATCAACGGGAGGGCCTTTACCTTTACCTTTTAACCTTGAAAAGTACACTTCACTTTGCAATATTTCTATTCTAATCTGTATCGTGGGATTAAATGCACAAATTTAGGGAGGATATTAGTTCTGGTAAAAATCTTACTCATAATATCTGTTTTTTCTTTCACTAATGAGAGCTACTTCTGGTGGTGTATTGTTGTTATAACTACATTATTTATTTTATATTTTGTGTGCTAATAATTTTTTAGCATAACCGAGCTTAATAAATTAAAGGTAAACTTAAATCACAAGGGATGGATTCTAATAATGTATAGAGCTGTCGTGTATTTATATGTGCCATGTATTTTACACACATTGCTTAACCTAATTATTATAGCCCTGCAGTGTAGGTACAGGTTTGTGTAGAGTGAGTCATTTGACCAGAAAATCACAACTAGTAAATAAAGTTGGGGTTTGAGTCCAAATCTGTCTCCAAAGTCACTGCTTCTGTTGCTCTTCTGCCTTTTCACCGATTATGCTGTTTCCCAAAAGCATAATTTCCTTCATTCCAAGTTGTTGTCAAAGTGCGCCTTTGGAAAAACTTGGCTCATTTAAGCTCCAAGCATACCTGTAGATCCATCCATTTCTTTCTCTACCTGTCTCTTCTTGAACTCAGAGTCTAAATATTTTTATTATGCAGATGAAATGTTTCCTAGAAGAAATTTTCCTAAGTATTAATTTTCTGTTCACAATGGTTCTTTTTTTTCAATTTGTGTCCCAAGATATCCTCTCCATCCCTACCCCCACAGCATCTCCACCTGTCAACTTGGCAGGCACATTACAAGGTTTCAGTGGTTGCTGCTGAATCTCTTTATTTTCAGTTCTGCTGAACCTGTGTTTTGGGTACAAGACTATACCCTTCACTCTTGTCACTGATACAACTCAAGGCCTGGTTCCTGTGTTATCAGGAAGGATTTCTTTCCTTCTCTGTCTCTAAACACTGGGTCAAGGATGATCTAAGCATCCCCATTTTACTACAGTGCACTTCCTCATTCTATATTCCACAGATGAGTGAGGTCATCCTGTGTTTGTCTTTCTTCTTCTGGCTTACTTCATTCAACATGCTATCATCCAGTTCCAACCAGGTTTCAGCAGATTGCATGATTTCATCCTTCCTTGAAGAATAGTATTCCATTGTTACACTGGTTCTTTTTACAGTTGTTGGGAATCATAACTAAGGACTTTTAGTGTATGTCTGTCAGCTTCTTCTTGATCATAGAATGAAATTGGTCATTGATCTTAAGGTTATGATCAGTGAAAAGAATGGGCATGAGTTAAGTTTAGCTTTTAATTTTAGATTAAAACCTAGCAACTGAAATCCAGCAAGGTGAAGAATGCTCTCACATAATAAGTGACAGGTCTCCTCAATAACCCAGTAATCTCTCTGCTACTCTGTATAATCTTTATAACCTTCCTACCTTGTTTGACAATGTGATTTGAACAGGATAACCTCCAGGCTTCAATAGTATTATATATATATGTGTGTGTGTGTGTGTGTGTGTGTGTGTGTGTGTGTATAGTTCATAAGATTTTAAAGTTCACCATTAGATTTATAGAGATCTCTAAATTCAGAGAAACATATTATACTCTATTCCTTACATATATTAAAGCTCAAATAAAAACAGAATTGATTTAGAAGAAAGGTTTCATTATTGAAGAGTATAAACTGGACATTTAATGTATTTGGAATTCATGAGAAGTCTAGTTGTCCAGGCTTGTAGAACTACTTTGTATCTTTTTATTCAGGATTTTTCCAAAATTTAATTACTATCTAAGCTTTGTCAGATTGAAGGAACCTATAAATACATACCTAGATTAGTAATATTGTCTCTGGCTACAGAAGTTAAAGCATTACAAGGTAGTAAGGAAAAGTGTCCCCCAGGTGAGCCATGCAAAGCCTAACTAAATGGTACATATTAAAAAGCCTACAAAATTGTTAGGTAGTAAGTGTTAATAGCTCATTTTTATGATTCATAAAATGGAAATAAAATACTTTGCCATATTTCTCCAGACTCACAAGTATCTCACATATTTGAAAACAGAATCCAGATTTCAGGGTCTGAACAGTAGTACAGTGGGTAAGGCACTTGTCTTGCACACGACCAACCCAGGTTTGATTCCCCAGCATCACATATAGTCTCTGAGCTCCACTAAGAGTGATACCTGAGCCACTTGGGTGTGACTCAGAAACCAAACCAAAAAATGGAATACGGATTTCTTGGATTTCTTTAATTTCATACTTAATCTACTAGTGCCACATTGTGTAAAATTGTCTTTGGTGCTTACTCCACTGGTTTCTTTTCTATTTTAATTATCATCATCAATCCTTAACATTACTCTAGTTTAGATTCTTATCCCTCCATAGTTATGATAGTAGCTTTCTAACTGCTAACTTTTCTATAGGATCTCTTTTTCTTCCAGTCTGTTTTCCTGATTACTTCAAATTATTTTATTATTTTCTTCTTCAGGCTGGAGCGATAGCACAGCGGGTAGGGCGTTCGCCTTACAAGCGGCCAACATGGCCGACCCGAGTTCGATTCCTCCGCCCCTCTCGGAGAGCCCGGCAAGCTACCGAGAGTATTGGATATGCCAGACACAGTAACAACAAAGTCTCCAATGGAGACGTTACTGGGCCCGCTCGAGCAAATCGACGATCAACGGGAGGGCCTTTACCTTTACCTTTACCTTCTTCAGTCATTGATTACATCTGTTTGGCTTACCAGATTGAGTCCAATCCTATGGAAGAACTTGATTACTAAGTCTCAATTGCATTCTTACTGCCCAATGCTGTCTTTGCTCTACAGCATGTTGTTTGAGCCTCTGTGGTGTTACTGAATAGTTTTCTCAAATTTACATTTCCTTTGCTTCTTCTTAGGGTCTGCTTTTTCTGGTTCTTACTCCTAAGAGAACCTCTTCTCCTACATCTTCGAATGTCCATTCACAAACACAAACTCTCAATGCTCTCAATAAATCTATAGGTATATATATATTATTTTCTCCACTTTATAGATGTAAGACAAAAGTCTTAGAAGAGTTGCTAGTAGATAATGGAATTTGAACATAGATCTGTGTGGTCCTGGAATTCAAGCCCTTCTGCCATTCTGCTGCTCACTATATCATGATGGTTCTCCCAAAGACTTACGTGTATGTCCTCCTTGTAGACCCAAACCCATCATTGTTTTTCCCCGGTCAGAACTGGCAATACACACATACTCTTTTATGTAAAAGTGTTCATCTTATCTCCCCTTTAAAATTTAAGATCCTTAAAAAACAAAGGTGTATTTGGTGTGTTTGTTTTTTATTCACCCCAGAGCAAGTTTTCCAAAATTTGCAGTCTTTACGGAGTGGGGCGGGGACAAACACATAGGGAAAAAAAAAAGCTTTTTTAAGTACAAGCTTACCTTTCCATTATGGATTGTTCTTGTGAACCCTTTTCATACATAACCCTTGTCTGGCTTGGGGTAAAGACATTGTAAGATTGGAAGAACATTCTGGAGCACGTACCACTTAGATTGGCAACCATACAAGGTTGCCAACGAAGCAATTTCCCTGAAAATGCATTCTTTTTGTATAAAAGATGAATCTACAAGAAGAAATATAGGAGAAACAGTTAACATATATCAAAACTCCCCAAGATTCTCAAAAAATACCACTGAGGAAAGGCTACTGACATGGCCACAGAAATTTAAGAGTGTGGCATTGTCAGCTCTGGATCTTGTGTAATGTGGTCTGGAGCAAGTGAGATAATATTTTTCAGCCTACTTTGTGTTGTTACCGTTAGAACCAAATTCAGTAGTACATGTGGAAGCTTTTAACAAAACAGCATAAATACTATTCAAAACCTTCAGATTATGAGAAAGTTCTCTGTATCTTTATAATTGTAGAGGTGCTGCCTCTACTGGTTTCTGGTTTTATTGAAAAAAAAGGACTTTGGGTTTCAAGAAGATAGTTACTGAAGTAATCTATTTCTATCAGATAGGGGGAAAAAAAAGACCAGAAGTAGATTTGGTACAGGGATTCCAAAATCTGTTAAAATCCTTTGTGCAAAGAAAAATAAATTTGCAATTCATCTTACTAGTTTAAACGTAATCTTTATTATTCTTTTTTTAAATTTATAGACAAAGTGGCATCAGAATTACTACAAGGCTATAGTAAATACTTGCCGCATGATGTTGTTGTTATGACTGTGAAGTTATGCATACTGTTTGCTGTGCTTTTGACAGTCCCTCTAATCCACTTCCCTGTAAGTACTCTTAAAGGTTTTGTTGCTTGGTATCGTGGCTCCCTAATATGGCAAGGCTAATTCTTTGCAGACTAGAATGTTTGAATCACATCTCATCTTGTATATCGTATTCATTTGTCAAGTAATTGATCAAAGACCCCTCATACTTGCATATGGCCCCATGAAAGCACAAAAATAACAGTGAGCCACTAAGCTAATTTGTGCTTTTGGAGATTTCGTTTAGATTTACGCTCTTCCAGAGCATTGTTTCCAATTTAGAGACTATGGTTCTTCTAAAGTTTTGGATGTTTTTCCCCCTTCAATTCTGTATTCTGTTTTCGAAAGAATGTGCATGAAGAGGAAAAAAGTCAGGTCAGCAAAAATAAGCTGCTTTATAAATATAGCTTATTTGGGTGTCTTATAAATTTATTTTCACATGAATGGTCTAGTTTAATCGTAGTCAAAATATTTTATTTGCTCTAGAATTTTAATTTAAGGAGCAGAACAGATTTTTGTTTTTCATTTAATTGCTATATATCCGGATCTTAAGAATTTTTGAGATGGAAACAAAAGCTTTGGGTTTAACGCTTCTGTGTGGGTGCCTTGAATCTCTAACCAGTGCCTTTCCTTAAAATTGAAACTTTAAGAATTTTTTTGCCTCCCTTGTATGCAGCGGCAGGAGTGCAGTAGGGGCAAGTAAACTATCTGTGTCTCTGACTGCTTGCTGCCCACGTTAATGTGGGAGCTGGGTCATGAACTGTCATTTTCATTGCATGAAAAGATAATAGCAAATAAAATAGTAAGTGGCGTGATTTCTTTTTCCAGTTTAAGTCTTTTGTTCTTTCACCTGTTGAATTTAATGAAAACAGTTTTCTAAAGTTTTATCACAGTTATTATTGATAATTTTAAAAGCCTTTTAACCTACAGCTATTTACAAAGTTTTTCTAGAATTAAAATATTTGAGGAAAGGGTTTAACCAGCATTATCAAGGCTTACTGCTGACTCTGGGCTGGAGCCATAGCACAGCGGGTAGGGCGTTTGCCTTACATGTGGCGGCCACCCTGGGTTCGATTCCTCCATCCCTCTCGGAGAGCCTGGCAAGCTACCGAGAGAAACCCACCCACACGGCAGAGCCTGGCAAGCTCCCTGTGGCATATTCGATATGCCAAAATCAGTAACAAGAAGTCTCACAATGGAGACATTACTGATGCCCACTCGAGCAAATCAGTGAACAACGGGAGGACAGTGCTACAGTGCTACTCCTGACACTGCTGAGAGATCACTCCTGTTGGCGATTTGAGGGCTCTGTGTAGTGCCTGGAGTTTATCCAGAGTCCTTCATGTGCAGGGCACAGCCTTATCTTTCTGGCCCAGATTAAATTAATTTAAATTAATTTCCACAAATTCCATATAGAAAAGCATGTATGTTTTTGTGTTTATGAGTAATAAATACTTTATAATAGGTTATGCTCTGGTTTTGGAGCATGTCTCTATGCAAGTATTTTGGCTTTGACAGTCTCCCTCTTGTGATTTGGTTTTGGTTAGGGAGGGGCACACCACAGTTGGGAGACTATGCAGTTCTGGGCCTCCAGTATGCAAAGCATGCACTGCAGTTCTTTGAGCCATCACTTTGACCCTAAAAAAATTCATTTTGATTAAATCTGTTTTTTTTTTCTTTTAGGCAAGGAAAGCCTTAATGATGATGTTTTTCTCCAATTTTCCATTTTCATGGATTCGCCATTCTTTGGTCACTCTAGCACTCAATATCATCATTGTTTTACTTGCAATATATGTTCCTGATATTAGGAATGTATTTGGGGTAGTTGGTAAGTTTTTCTATATTGATAAAACGCACATAATAAAATAGATAAAATTTAGCCTTACACCTAAATCTAACAATATTCCTTTTATCTCCCCCTCCCACTTAAAGGCTCTAGTACATCAACCTGCTTGATCTTTGTATTCCCAGGACTTTTTTATCTTAAACTGAGCACAGAAGATTTTCTATCATGGAAGAAACTTGGGGTAGGTTGGTTTTTAATTTGGGGCAGGTTGTATTTTGTTTGTTTCTTTTAAGAAATAATTTGTCATTTTATAATTTTATCTACATCAAGGCGGTTCATTTATGGTATTGTTTTTGTTTGTTTGGGGGCCAAACCCGGCAATGCTCGGGTTATTCCTGGCTTTGCAATCAGGAATTATTTCTGGCAACCATATGGGATACCAGGGATGGACCTGGGTAAGCCATGTGTAAAGCAAGCATCACTTCTGCCCAACAGTTTATTTATTTTAAATTATTATTTTTTTAAATTGACAGTCTAGAGGTTTAAAAGTACCTTCAATTATTCTTTTTCTTTTCCCTTATTTCTGCAGGCTTTTGTTTTGCTCGTCTTTGGAATTTTGGTTGGGAGTCTTAGCTTAGCACTCATCATTTTTAATTGGATTAATAAATGAAATATATTTTATCATGTCCTGTGAAGAATAATATACCTCCATGTACAAATTAAGTCTGGAACAATTCTGGAAGGCATGTTAGATGAATCCTTTATGTGGATGAACATATTTGAACACATTTAGAAAATGAGTGGATGGAGGAAAGTGGACATAGCAGTTTTAATAAAAAAAAAACTCACATTTTTTAAAAGAATATTTGGTAAATATTTCATCTGTGTGGTTTTTTAAATTATCACCCTGCTATTTTAGGGTAGTTTTAATGTTTACAGAAATATGGAACAGAAGAGTCAGAGTTCTCATAGTATTCATCCCAACACACCCCTAGATCCCCATATCATTAATATCTTGCATTTGTGTGGTACATTTGTTGTACTTCATAGTGATTTGTTGTTATTATTAAAATCCATAGTTTACAATAGGATTCACTTGATGGATGTATTAGTAAATTTTGAACTTTTTAGGGTCTCTATAAACTGTGAACCTTGTTCTATATGCTGTATAGTTGAAATCATAATATGCTGACCTTTCAGACAGATTCTGTCACTTAGTGAAATAGGGGACAGCAGGGCTTGGAGTGAATTCAGGTGTATATAGTAAAACCCAAACCAGCTCAAGCTCATCAAGTATTCATCAGAGACCCATCGAGGAGCAAAGCAACGAATTCCCGCCTGACACACCCTAAAGCAAGCAAGACAACTTGATCAATTCGTCAATGCAGCTTTGAAGAGACAAACCGCGTGCCTCTCCCTGCATCTTGCCTCGAACCCCTCCATTCCTAACAGCTTCCACTGTACAACGTTCATTCCTTTAATCTTATGGGGTGCACTCTCTTCCTGGGAGTCTTCTGCATCCCAGCGTGGGGAATGTAACTTCTCCATCTCTGGAGAAACCCACGTTCATCAAGGAAGATGCATTCTCCCACTTTTATTTTCAAAATAAAGCTTTTTTGCTTCACTATTGGCCTTCTCCTGCGGTGCTTTTCTATGAGGCTTGAGACAGGACCTGTCTCGGGTACAGGGCAAGGCTTTGTTGTTTGCGTGGTGCAAGAGCAACTTCCGGCTTCTGTGTGTCCTCACCTCCCTCAAGGATGGGCCATTGCCATGTGCAGCGCAGGAGGCCAGGAGTAGCACAGTCACCTGAGATGGTGGCTTCCCGCCCAGCCCCCACCACAGCAGTGTGTAGTCAGGTTTCTTCCTTGTCTTTCTCAGTCCTTCATTGTGTATTTCTTGTTAGCACTGAACGGTAATCCGTTGTAAGGGTGGGCCAAGGTGTGTCCTCTCCTGGTTCTAGTTTGGGCAGTTATGAGGTAAGCTGCTTTAAATGTTTGTGTGCAGGTTTTTGTGTGGTTATCAGTTTTCAATTTGTTTGGGTTAATACCAAAAAGCAGAATTGTGTGTCATGTGGTTAAGAGTTTAGTTTTGTAAGAAACTGACACAAGCTCTTCCAAAGTGACAGTAACATTTGCATTCCCAGTAGCAGTGAATGAAAGCTCCTGTTGTACCACATCCTCCTCAGCAGTTCATATTGTTTTGAATTTTCACCATTCTTTATATAAGTGGTAGCTCATTGTTTAATTTGTGATTTCCTAATGGAATCTGGTGTTGCTTAAAAAAAATGCCTTTCCTGTCAGTATTTGCCTCTGTTCTCTTTGCGATCTTATTCAGATCTTGTAACCATCTTGTAACCATTTCAGTTCAGATCTTGTAACCATTCCTGAGTTGGTTTCTCAATGTTGAGTTTTAAGCATTCTTTCTATATTTTAGATTTTTTTTAATTGCATATGTATTTTGCAATTACTTTCCCCACTCTGGTCTGTGGCTTGCCTTATTCTTCGAGAATACTTTCTTTGACAGAATCAAATGTTGGCAAATATGTTGACTCAGTCTTTTATTTTTAAAGAAAGCAATATATTGTGTTTACGTGTAAAATTGAATATTAACTTGAGCTAATGTTGTCTAGTCAATCACTAATAACAAAACTTCATATTCTGCCCTGTTTGCAAATCCCATCTTAAAAACCTTCCTGATTTTTCTCTGTGATTCATCATGAGAGAAAGCTGTGGTGACTATGGGCTTGAAAATTCTCTGAACAGCTTTGTAATGGTCTGTCTCACAGTGATCCAATAAAAAATAAAAATAAAATGGAAGAAAAAATTCTCAGAGCTTTTTGGACTTTGTCATTAAAACATGTAACTCTCAACTTGGCAAATGGACATATATTAATAGTTTACATCATATTTTTCTTGGAGGTTTTAAATCATGCTAGTCTTCCCACTGATTCTGGGTAATTTCTGATTGGGAACCCAAAACTCCATGCTCTACTTCATCTGTATTTTATGTAAACGGCACCTAGTTAGCAGCCTTCCACAGCCAGGATATATCAGTAAAATGTAGCCCTACCCCAGTACCCATGTAAAGCAGGGAACTGCACGTGAAGCCCTGCTTTGCATGTATGGAAAGACGCTTGCAGGTGCTCCCTCCTTGCTTCTCAGTTAGGAAATGGGCTGAAATTTGAAAATTGTGCTTCTTTTTTGAGTTTAAGATATTTCTTTGGCAGCGTGAGGCCAGCATGATATAGTAGGAAAAGTCCAGATCTGGAGGTTAGAAAGACTTAGATTCAGATCTTCGTTTAGGCAAACTGTACAACCCTTCTAAGCCTTCACTTTCAGATAGGTATTAAATGGAGTTAATGCCAACTATATGAAGTTGTGTTGAGAGGATTAAATGACCTTGTATAAATGAGGTGCAGGCCAAAACAGGCTCTCTTTAATAGCTCAGATCTTTATCCCTTTTCTCCCATCCCTTCATCTGGACCAGTAAAATGAATTTGCTTTTAATCACAGACGCAGAACCACAGCTTGAATGTCTTCAGCCTCCATCTTGTACAGCTAATATATTTAAAATATTTCTGTAGACCTCTTTCAGAGAAAAACTGCCCCCCTGTGCACTGCTTTTAGTGCTTTCCCATGGTTCCACCCCAGCTATATTCCCTCTCCCTCCCTCTAACACACACACACACACACACACACACACACACACACACACACACAGCCGGGCAGGGCCTTGGGGCTATAGGTCAACCAGAGTCCATCAATCTCAGAAAGGATTCTTGTCCCCTCTTTTGCCATTTATGAAATTATGGATCCAAAATACAAATAGTTGTTCAGCTGCTTAAATAAATCTAACTCTAGTAATACCAGAATACACTAAATCTGCAACAGATGCAAAGGTCCCCCCTCCCCAGAGAAGGGGTGGCAAATGTAAGTGTGATGACAGCTGGGCATCAATTAATACATTTGTCACCTGCTCATGGCAGAGGATCATGGAGATTTGAAAAGGGACAAGTAACCCAGTCAACACTGCACAAAACTTGCTAAATATTGAGAGAAATCACTTGTGAAGGTGTTTATTTTCATTTTATGTTCATGTTATCTAGTTCTTTCTTTGGAGTCACAACCTTCTGAGTCTGAAGGAAGGTTAAAAATGACTGGTAAGAGCAGTTCCTCCTTCACCAGGATTACCAAAAACTTGGTGCAAGTAGCCTTCACCATAATGGGCTTAATGTTCATAATTTATTAGGTAAGAACTATTTAAAATAAAGCTAAGTAAAGGACAAAATGTTTAGTTTTTAATACTTGGTGACTTACTGGCTAATCTAAAAGGCAAAATGCTAAGAATATAAATTACTTTCATATGTAGTGGGTGAATGTTCAACTTGTACTTTTTTTTTTTTTGAACACAATGTTTACTCATGAGCTTAGCATTTAAATAGTTAAAACAAGCCTTTGAAGTTAACACTCCATTAAGATGAATGGGGGTAATTCACACCTCTGCCGGTGCTGTATTATTTCAGTCTGGCTGCCCAGAAAACAAGAGAGCAGTAAGGTGATTTACTGTGTGAAGGCCCTTTAAACACCCTTGGTCTGAAAATCTTTCTTGTCCTTCTTTTTACCTTTAGAAGCCGAATCAGAAATACAGTGTGATTTAGGTTTAGAATTCCTATCAGGCCTCAGATGAGTCACAAACTGCCACGTTTACCTCGATTCTGACTGTATTCTCCAGTGCTCTCAGCGGTTCTTTTCACCATGGCGTCTTTGTCTTTCAGATTTAAGTTTAGTGCCCTGGTGAATTCACCAGTTGAAAAAAAGCAGAAGCAAACCATTTATTTTCAGGCAAACTTTAGATGTACCTTCAAGTGGGTTGTGAACCACTCATTGGCCTTCATGTGCTCTTACAAACATTTTCGGCTTTACAACATCTTGTTCTTAATATTTGCCTACTTGCAGAATGGGGCTGGAGCAATAATAGCACAGCGGGTAGAACGTTTGCCTTGCACGAGGCCGACCCGGGTTCCATTCCACCCACCCCTCTCAGAGAACCCAGCAGGCTACTGAGAGTATGAGAGTATCCCGCCTGCACAGCAGCGCCAGGCAAGCTCCCCGTGGCATACTCGATATGCCAAAAACAGTAACAAGTCTCACAATGGAGAGGTTACTGGTGCCCCGCTTGAGCAAATCGATGAACAATGGGAGGACAGTGCTACTTATAGAACATCTACCTCTAAGAATTTTTTTTTCCCTTTCTCATATAACTGGGCAATGGAATGGTGAGGGTGAAGTGAGTAAAAGTCACCTGGGAGAGCGTCATTTCTTTCTCTTTATGTTCTTTACACTATCTTGTGTTTGAAATGTATAGAATTCTCAGTGAAAAGTGCTACAACTGTTTCCCTGAAAGGATTCTTTTTTGAGACTATGGAGAGCTCATGTGAGCACAAATTAAATAGTGAGCACTTGGGGGCCAGAGAGCTAGTTTGGGAGGGTGGCAGCCCTGGCGGCCCCCTAGCCTGGCTGTTGTAATCCTGGATAGAGCACAGCAGAGCTGGAACTGCACCACATCTTTGCCCCACCCCCCACCCCATCAACCCCCCACCCCCACATTTATCCAGCCAGCCCTTTGTCTGAAAATCTCCAGGAGAATCTTCCTTCCCCCACCCCCAAGTGGTGAGCTGGTATATAGTAGGAGATGTTAATGAATGTGGACGATGTGTTTTTGAGGTAAACAGGTTTTTCTTTTTTCCACTCTGCCCTGTGTGTTTGCAGGATCAGGTTACTAGATAATCTTTGGGTAGCTGGGTGTGGAGAGTATTTCCTTTTGGGCCTCTCCTGTGCTTACATTGCAGTATGGTATATACACATGGAAAATAGATGCTCCACAAAGGGGCTCAATTCATTTCAACCTGTTTTTCTTCTTGGTGTGTTGACAGTACTCCGTGGCTGTGTTAGAATCACCCCTGTTGGGAACATACTTGTCTTCCTGCAGATTTGTCTGCCTACAGCCTCAGTTTCTTAGTTTTGAGCCTGAGAATATCTCAGAACCTTTTGTGATTCCAAGAAATTTGTTTTTCTAATTTCAACACTAATTTCTCTACCATAATCTTTCTAGGGTCTTTCTGTAATGAAGTAGGAAAACAAACTTTTGGTCAAGGGTGAATAAAGATAATGTGGATGTGGTTTCCTTGTTGTAATTAGAACTTTTTTCTCTTTTCCTGAACAATCAGATGGTAGTATGTTTCGCTCTCAGGATCTGCTGTCCTTCTTTGTAGCCTTTCTGTGAAGTTGAGCATTTATTAGGAGGAGGAAGTCTCAGCTTGGCTGGTGGCCAGGCAGACAGGTGGGGGTTTATTCACCTATGGGAAAGGTAATTGGTAGTGGGGGAGGGAATTTAATAGACAAGGGGAGAAAGACAGATTAAAAAGTATTTTTATCTATTCATATTTGGTTTTGTTCCCTTTCAGGTACAACACTTATCTATAGAATTGCTGGGTCATATGACAGATCAATTTTCAATAGCACTGTAGCACTGTCCTCCCATTGCTCATGAATTTGCTCAAGTGGGCACAAGTAACGTCTTCATTGTGAGACTTGTTACTGTTTTTGGCATATTGAACATGCCATGGGGAGCTTGCCAGGCTCTGCTGTGCAGGCGGGATACTCTCTGTAGCTTGCCAGGTTCTCCGAGAGAGGCAGAGGAATTGAACCCAACTCGGCCACTTACAAGGCAAACGCCTTACCTGCTGTGAGAAATTTTCATACTGTTCTTTATAAAGGTTGAACCAATTGACATTCATGCCTACAGTGTACAAGCATTCCCTTTTCTCCACACCCAGCCAGCACTTGTTTCTGGCCCTTTTGACACAGACCATTCATAGTATCTTGATTTGCATTTCCTGATAGTAAGTGATAATGAGCATTTTTCTATGTGTTAGTTGACTACCTGTATGTATTATTTAGTGAATTACAATAGCTAAGACACAGGAACAACCCAAATACTCATGAACAAATGAGTGAATAAGGAAAATAAAATATTTATAAAAAAAAGAATGGAGTCTTACCATTTGTAGTTATGTAGGTAGAGTTGGAGGGTATCTTGGTAAGCAAATCAGAAAGAGACAAATACCAATTGATCTGTTGTAGGTTATAAAGAAATAATGGAAACGGGCAAATTCAAAAAACAAAACCGTTGAACTATGACCACAAAAAAAAACCCTTAAACTATGACCACAAAAAAAAAAAAAAACACCCTTGAATAAGACCACAAAACTATGACCAAAAGGGGAAAGCGAGGTTCAGGCTGTAAGGAAGGTTCTAGTAGACAGTGGGAGTGGCAGGGGGGGACATTGCTACTTAGGTGTAGATATTACCTAGTAACAGACATGTTGGCTTTGTTTTGGTTTTGTTTTTCTTCCCCCCTCCCCCAAGACACCCCTCTCCACTTTCCTTTGCTATTGTGGCCAGAGCTCATACGCACACCTGATGTTGGTGCTCATACTCTTGCGGTGCTCTAAGACTTGTATTCTTCTAGTTGTGCTCACACACCTTCTGGTGGTTATTGCAGTGCTTGTCACACGTGTGCTTGTCAGAGGGTGCTTCCTGCCTGTGGTGCCTGCATAACTTTTGTGAGCAGTTCAGAGGGCAGAGCTGCCAGGCTCACACAAGCAGGGCTAATTGCACAGGCAGCAGCACAAGCCTTTGAACTCTGGACCTCTACTTGAAGGGCAGCATTCTAGACCACTGCACTAG